TTATAAACCTGACAATTCTCGCTCATTATTTATTCTCTGGAATACGGTTGCAAAATTCTGTACGTAGAGAATACGGTTTGGGCAAATATTTTTCCAATTTCCAAGATTGTTCCCCATATAGATAATACTGTTGAACACAATGGCGCATAATAATCAAAAATGTTTATCGATAGTTACTTTAAAGTTAAACAATAGCAGTACAGCTTCTGTCTTGTTTATTATTCCGACTCAATTTTGTCATAATTCAAAGTAAATAAATTAAACAAAACAGTAAACGAAAAGTGAGAGAACTTCCTGGTGACTGTAGGTTCCTCAGATCTCGATTCACCACGTGGCGCCTGAGGAAATTACTGAGGTTGTTGCTTCTGTTTCGTTTCATCTCGAGTTCGCCTGTATCCCGAGCGGCCAAGATAAGCCACTTAGTCCTCGGGGTATTTTGGGCCTAGACGACTGTGCTTTGAATGATTTTCGCACCATATCATTCCGTATCATTCCGAATTATCTAGACATGTGACAGGATCACTTGGTTCATAAGAAAATCATTCCAGGCCATAATAGGCGTCCATTTCCATTGTCTGGGTCGTTATCACGATAGTATTGATCTCATCGCTTTTCCGATGAAACAGATAACCAATTATTATTATTATTAATCTGAAATTTACCAATGTATATTAAAATATATTCAGGGCAGTCAGGAACAATTTGGAAATGGTTTTGGAGTTTAAGCTATTTTATTACCATAAATATTTCGAAGTTGGTAGTATATGACATAAACGCGATCGCGATCTAGGAGATTATCTTATTTGAACTAAAAATATAGCATACATATTTGTTTTTTATTTTGTTAAAGTCGAAACTTATTTGTTTATAATAATAATGCACTAATTTAATAATGTTAATAATGTTCTAAACCACAAATCCTGATCAAAAAAGTGCAGACATTTGCATTATAATATGACATATTTTGATTTTTGAACAAATAAAACCACAATAAAAACAAATAAATTAGGAGCCTGTTGGTTGAGTTTAAATCTTAATTAATTAGGTTTCAACAAAAAAATTGAAGTATTTACCACTGGCATCTCCGTTAAAAATTTGGCGAACTAAATGCGTAGACTTAGTACTTCCGCTAAATATTGAAAGTCACTTTGACTAAAATCAAACGTATTTTCCAACATAAATGATTATTAAAACCGACCGCATTTTCAATTATCTATTACTGGAAAGGCTCGTTCTGTAATTGCACCACAAATCAATCAATCGAATTTAATGAAATTATTGTTCAATATTCCAGTGCGAGAATTGCACCTATTTCAATTTTCAATGGCCAACGATGCAGTTTTATTTTGCTCGACGTTAATTTTGAAATTTTTTCATCTGTAAATAACGATACTCTATTGTATGTATATTGTAAATTATAAGCAAAATTGCTTATAAGCTTATACTAGGGCACAATATTTCGCTCTCTGCAGTATCTAAGAGCAATAGCGTTGTGACATCAAACTGCTACTATGCAATATTTTGAGGCCATTTTGGACAGATAGCAGATTTTAATGACTGAATGTGGATAACATAATATAATATCATATTATGCAAGTTTGATTAAGGCCACAAGCTTGTTTTGGCACCAGGCAAGCGCAGCAGAGCGAGTGTCCGAAACCCAAACCCAAAGCCCTGATTAAAGTACCAGAAACGCCCGAAGTCGCTCGCGACAGTCTCAAGAAATCGACGTCTTAAAGTGACGCTGATCATTGCGTAACTGGTTATTTTCGCGAAGCGGATTCCATCTTATTTGACTAAAAAAGAAGACAAGAATAATAGTTTAAAGTCTGCTGAACAATTAGTTTATTCAATTACAAAATATGTAATAAACAATAATATATATAAATATTTCATTGTTGATGTAAATAACTTCAGATTCTCAATCTTTAAAGTTAAAACCTGCTGCTTGTAATTGTTATATAAAGTCAAGTAATTGAGAGTCGCATTAGTCCTCGGTTTTTCTTTAATCCTCCTGTAACTGGATGGTTGAATGCAATATTAATTTCGACTAATCGGACAAGACCTACTGTTTTGTTTAATTTCTTTTATTAGATAATTTTACAAAACATGACTTGAATAATTCACAATTATTTAATTTGAGTATATTGATTAGTATTTAGAATATTAATTAATATACTAACTTCTAAATAAATATATTAATTAATATACTGTTAGTAATAGTATAGAATAGTACGGCGTACCTAAATATTGATATTGTATAAGTAGCTAATATAAGAGAATGTACAAACTAACGTCATATTTAAAAAAAATGAATATGAAATTTTGAAAGGGTAAAGCAATTTTTCGTGACAAAATCTATTTCGTATGAAAAGCAGTCCATATAAACATGGGCGTATTTTTTAAAATTTTAGCGGTGACAGTAAAATAATGAAAAACGAGTTTTATTTATTACGCGAAAATGGTCCATCGTTCGAAAAAAACCAAGAAGTCAAATTTACTTAAAATATATAGAATAGAATGGAGATTTATAAAAAATACCATGTTATGTTAAAATTATGCAATGGTTACTTCCTTAGAACTTCACCACCATTTTCATCGAAAAAAAAAACAACTTCTGAGGTTTGTTTGTTTGATTGTCAATTTCAATTGGAAATATATGAAAACCTGAAAATTTCCGCATACATTTCTTATCGGCTTTATTTATAATTAAAGCAGACTGGAAGCGGAACAAACACCAAACATGCGATACTCGAAAATCAAAATAAACTCCATCGACTAGCAATACAGGCATAGAGTTTTCCATCACGAAGCAAAATAGTATTATATTTAAGCGCTTTGTTTGGAAATGGCGTCGCATTGCTGTTAAGTTTACCGTTACGTATTATGAACTAGAGCCGGTTTAGTTCGTAATGCTAACGCAAGTAATATGGCTGTTTGATAATCTACAATATACATGGAACATAATATCGTACAATATGATATTGCCAATATTACGAATCTACATTTATAGATTCTACTTTTCTAGAAGTGTTTTAAAAGAGGGGAGTAAACTGCTGAAATCACCTGATATAAAATAAAAAATCTGTGCAGCATTAACTTTGTATATTTGGTATATCACTAAAAAGACGGGATTTTTATGGTTTATTAAGCGTTATATGGAGGGTTATTCATAAATAATCGGCAACCTCTAAAGAATTTTTTAGAAAGTACTTCAAAGATAAAAAGGTAAGCGGAACAACAAATTGTTGGGATTGCCCACAATCTATCTCAATGCATTTTGCACTACATTCCCTTAAATATCTTTCAATGTTAAATAAAAATTCTCTATTCTTTTTAAGGAAATTCGCGGCTCCTTGTATTTTTGCCGTAACTCCAATAACTGCTGTAAGAATTAAATTTTTCAACGTATACTAAATCCTTGAATTATGACCATATTAAGAAGTTTAAGTAGGAACTCCTTGGTAATTCACAAATTCACCTCCACCGACAATATACCTCAATCATATTTTTTTCCAATTTAGAGATTACCTATCCTATATGAATGTGTGAATGTGTGTTGTGTTTTATCGGGAAAAGACGGATAGCTAGAATTAGACGTTACCCGAAATTAGAAGTCTAAGTCTAAGTTTTATGCAGTTAAAATTTGAAATTACAAATTTATCTTGCAAAACTGTATGGCCGTACACCAATTTTAGGAAAAAATCTCTTTGTCATTTCTCTAGAACTTTTAGTAGAAATTAAAGAAAGAAAAAACATATACTTATGAATTATGGGGCAATATTAGACAAACATTGTCAAGATTGTCGATTGTTTAGAATTAGCTCCTTTAACAATATAGGCACAGGGAAAACGTCAAAATTTAATGAAAGAAATCTTTTCTGGTAGTGCAACTTAAAGAACAAAAAATCAAGGCATTTAAAATAAAATAATCACTTATAACATAAAGCTCATGCGTGGTTAGCTAAACAGAGTGATTATATAGAAAAGTCATTGAGATAATCAATCAAACTTCAAAGTTCTCTGATCAAACAAATTTCTCTTACAGTGGACGGGAATCGAATTTCATTCAGCCGTTGACAGATGAAGGATATGCGATCTAATATTTTGAGTTATTAATGCAATATTGTTTCGGGTACAACTGTTTAATTTCTTTATACAGGGCGACTAAAAGAATGTTAATAATTAAAGGATAAGTCACATTTACTTTTAACTAGTTTACATGATTTTATATTTGAAAAACAACACATATCCGAACTGAGAATCATCCAAGTGCGATTTGTGTGCGAAATAAACAAAAATTATTCAAATTTGAACATAAAAACAGTTTATAAAATCGCAATAGTTAGTAGTATTAAGACAAGCCGTTTCTTTCGAATTTTTTTTTGCTTTTATTATTTTTAAATATACGCCCCTGGTGGTAAAAGGCTTAGCTTAAAGGTCAATTATTACAGCGAGAAAAATATTAGGCGGAAATTAGACTTAACTTTTTTTTCACTGTATATATAACCATATATATAATCCAACTATGATAATACGATAATAAGCTTTAAACGAGCAGATTAAAGTGAAGTTATGTTGTTGGGAGTTCAACTGTATAAAATAAAGCTCACCGGTTGTGTTAAATATTCTCCGAAATTACTGCAGTAGTTAACCATTTGTCTTTCCTTGATAGTAGTCTCCTTTGTTTCATGTGAATCCAAATTGCAAATTGCGAAACAATGAAAATAAATACTGACACGATTTACTTAGAATAAACATGACGATTTTGACGCCGTGAAGGACACTGGAGTATAATATCTATCTTTGAGTTATTATTACATGATGTAGACTGCAGTGTGTGCCTTAATAATTTCGAAAACGGTTTATTCGCGTTATGATTTATTCCCCTCTGTCTATATTATAAAAGAATATTTTTGATTTGCTAATTTTGCATTAACAAATTCTAAAAATCTTATTGTTCTTAAAAAGTATTTGCTAATTACGATTATTTGTTCTAGTTCTCGCTGGAGTGGGCATCGACTTGGTATACCATCGTCGACGTATGGGTTTCTATTTGATGTAAGTCGTAGAATCTTTTAGCATTTAGTTGATGTATTTTGTAATTTTTCAGAGTTGATCAGATCAAATATTAAACACATTCATATGACTTCTTATGTCACTGTATGGGAATAGACACCTGTTCTATGTTTGAATTACACTTCTTACACACTGTGTAAATATTGAGATTAATTTTTGCCGACTTAAAAAGACCATCAAAAATAACTTCGATATACTAAAAATATAAGCTATGGTTGTATGGAATATCCAGTAATATTACCTACTGGGTTTCTGATCGCAAATAGGTTTAAAGCGTCCCATTTTCAAATTTAATTTTTAAAATTGTTAAATTTGGGAGTGAAGTAGGATTCATATTATTGTTTATATTCTGTTCAGAAATATTTGCAGTCGAGACTGTATATCGAAGTTATTTTTGATGGTCTTTTTAAATCGGCAAAAATTTAACTACTGGCCATTATGAATGATAAAATTGCACCTGTTTACGATTCATTAAAAATTAATCTCAATATTTACTAAACTTTTATATTTCTCGCTTTTTGTAGAAAAATTTTAATTTGAAAATTTCAGTTTCAAGATTAGGGTTCATATCCATAACTTGCAAAAATCACGGAGATGGCTCTTGGGGCCGTAATAAAAAAACTTGATAATTTTGTCTAGAGGTCCCGATGTTCATTTGTTTAATGCAATACTTTTAAAAAGTTTACCTTTGGTTTAAAGAAGGAAAAGATAAGTGCCAGCTTAAAAAGACGTCTCTAGTATACTTGTGCCAAGCGAAAGCTTAAAAAGGAAATGTGGAAATTTATAAATTCTTATTTTTACAGAAATAAATTCGCAATATGAACTGGTGCTACGGGAACGTACGGGTTGCCCTTTGTTTGAAAGTGGAAATAAAAGCGTTTTTGTTCGAAATGTTTTCAGAAATTTTACTTCCGAGAAAAATCGCAGGTGTTTCAGTGATATAAGATACGAAATTTTTGATCGTAAAATCCGATACTAAATATTGATGCGTTTAACGTGATTACGTAAACGGCGAAATACAAATTCGTTGTATGGCCGTGGAGGGGCCATTCTCATTGATGGGATTTTTATACCGGTCTTTCGGTTGAGGTGTTTAACGAGTTCTTGCGTTTTGCTGATGCCTAAGATTAAATTAAGTGTTGATGCAAAAATATTGTCGTATAAGCAAACATTTTATTGTTCACTTTTCTTTAATTTTTAATGTTATTAAAATAACTTCGTCGCATATCTGTAAAGTTTGATAAACACCACTTTAGTCACTGGTTTGATTTCTAGTTTGATTTTAGTGAGTGAGTGTTTAATTAACGAGCGACTGAGTTTAACTTTTATAGTATAATTTTTCTACAATCATTAATTTTTGGGTAAATTTTTGGGAAACAAAACTACTAAATTCACTAAGTGACATGTGACGTGGAAGTGGCTTGCACCAGTGTTTATCCAAGCTGATGTTCTAAAATGACATTTTGCAATTAACTTGCAACGATATCCTGGCTTTCTCCGCAAATTTCAACCAGACGACTCTAGAAGTTTTGTTTCGTATTTTCCCAACATTGCTTTGAATATATGATTTTTTAAATTGATCTTGGCTCTTTCATATTTATATTTAATTTAATTTAATTTATATTGTTTTATTCTTATTAGCAATTAGCGTACGAAACGAATTGTCCTATCCACACATATAATAAAATCAATTTAAACACTGTAAAAACATATAGCGATAGCACATAAATTTAGCTTTGATAGGCCGAAACCCTTGTAAAATTATGAATCCGTTTTAATTTTACTAAACATTTCGAGTGAATTTATGAAAAATAGTCAATATATTAATCAGACAGGCAAAGTCTTTGCTTGGGCGTATATTGAAAATATATTTTATTTTAGACCTGTACCCTAAATGTTTTCGATCGCTGTTGTAAGATTTTCAAGAATTTGTGAACTCACATTGCCAATTATCAAAAACATTGATATAAAATAAACGTTTTGAATATGTTAAAAATATATATATTTCTTTCAGCATGTTTGGATAACCCAACGCCAAACAACTTATGTATTTGGAAAAAATAATCTCGATTAGGTATGCATACCTAAGACATATCTCAAAATCTGTTTATTATTATTTATTTATTTATAATTAACTTGCCTATTGGCTTTTGGATTTAGCAAGGGATGGGTTCAAACGAAATACGATTTTCAAATAACTTATCTAACTACGATGAAGATTTGATTCTTCTGAACTCTCATGAATTGATATTCTGTATAATTTGTTAGTTTCTTTTTAGTTACAGTATTGTATTTGTTCACAGGACTAGAACGCAAACGTTCATCCTTATCACGAAAGAAAGTCAATAACGCCACATTCTCTACTGGAACAAAGACAATATGAACTTCAGGCCGTCGACCGTTTCCTTTCAAATATCTTTCAATCTAATATTAACTCCAATAGTGCCGAGAATATCTGCTTACCCAACATCGGACACAATTCCTTTTTATACGCGTTTTATATCCCGCCAAGAATAAAAATCGAATTTTCGCAGACGGGGAATGTAGGAATAGACCGTTTTGTTCTAACCCCATTAGGGCATCCCCATTTTCGTTATTGTATGAAAGAAAGGCCATTTCTCACACGAGGGGCATAAACCGCCGATGGACAGTTGGTTTCCGAAAATGCGTGAGAAATCCACGAGAATTTTTTATGTTGTTTTCGTCATATTTCATATCACGTAGAGGTGAGGGATGGTGACGAGAGCTTTAGTTTTCACGCTCCTATAAACGTAAATCATCGATGGATGTCTAAAGCAAGTAATTATTTAATAATTATTATTAATTATTTTCGCGGGGTACATTAGCGTAATTATTATTGAAAAATTAAATAGATGGCTTTAAATTACCAACATTTCGAGCAGATATTGCTATTTTTGATTGATAAATTTGTATTAAAAAATAAATAAATATATAAAAACTTATTTTGAAATTCATAATTAAAAATAGTTGTTCCTGAATCCTGAATTAACCTGTGACTTAGTTTATATTGTTTTTTTTTTTAATTAAATAGATCGCTTTAAATTACCAACATTTGAAACATGAATTGTTATTTTAACCAATGAATCTGTATTAAAAAATGAATAAATATATAAAAACTTGTTGTGAAATTCATAATTAAAAATAGTGGCTCCTGGATCCTGAATTAACCTGTGAATTGTTATGAGTTTTCGCAAACCAGTTATAACCTATTAAATTCATTAACATTGCGGCTGTGCCACTGCATGCCCTTCGAACAAAATGGAGAATCTTAATTCACTTTTATTCAAAAACGGGCTACTCGCACCTAATGAGAATATTTTGGGCGTAGATTTTTGCGGAACGTCTATTGAGAAACATTAATGAATTTAAACTTAATTACCTTATCTCAAAACCTACGAGGGTTACAAAAAAAAATAGTTACATTAATTAATTAAAATGACCTTTATTGCTTTTTGCCATCTATTGTTTGTACAAAAATAATGCTTTTCTTAAAATACGCGGTGTTGCCACGTTTCGCAAAGTGATACTTTTCTCAAAATTCTTAAATGAGACACCCTGTATATGATTGTATTTTCGAATAGCCACTTTTATAGCAATTTCAATTATGTAACATAGTACGGGTCTCTGACTATGAGAGTGGCGATTAAGAAAATAAAAAAAATAAAGGTCATTTTAATAGAAACAACTATTATATTTAATTTTTTTTGTAACCCCCGTTGGTTTCGAGATATATAGGCCCCTCTTAACCACCCCGAACAATAGGGAAAGGAAAATAAGGTTGGTACATAATAATAAATATTCACACTTAGAGGTTAGAAATCACACTGACTCGTTGGGCTTCTGACCCGAGAGTTTCTGTCCAGGATGTTCTGTCTTTATTTCTTCGGCTTGTGCATTTCTTGTTTAAATTATAATTCATTTTTTAATTTTATTATTTTTTAAAATTATTAATAATTACCTATTTAATTTTTTTAAAGTGACAAAAGTTCAAAAAATCAATAATGATTATCAAACAATTTGTTGCTATCAAACTTTATACAAAACTGTCCAGTAAGGAAAAATATCGGAATCCTTTTACTAAAAATCTGCAAAAAAAACCAATGATACATTTTATGACATCAGTTTCATTGGCGAACCACTTCTCGAATTTAGACGTCAGTTTCAGTGGCCACGGCTGCGAACCACTTCGGGCGTTTCCGGGATATTACCCACGTCTTGAATTTCGACATTTGTCAATTCTAACGATCATGTCACAAGTTGCCCAGGAATGTATTCGTGTTCTTCGAATATTTATTATGGAGTACCAACGTGGTTTTGATCTCTCTGTCGCACATACCAATTAACATTTAATTCATTATCATCTGCAGACAAATAATGCCAATGACAACAAAGTTAGTTAGTATAAAACAGTCAGTTTTTAAGCCAAAAGTGCACCACGCAAGTTAGCAAAACCCAAGAAAGAAGGTTGATACAAAATTCCCCAGACCCTGTTCCAAGAGTTTGGATCTCTTAATATATTTACAATGTTAGAGCCATAGAGATAATAACACCATCTTGTATATATTATGTCAGTTCGATTTATTCAATGAAGTAAGTACATTTCTGCCCGTGAAGAGCAACTACCGGCTATATACACATGCATCCATGAATATTCCAGTTTGCGGTTAGACGAGTATTCAAATTTAAATGAGAAATTCTTTCCATTCTGCATAATAATGAATTTTAAATGCAATCATTGGCCGGTTGCGCCTTGTTCGAAGAATTGTCGGTCCCAAAGTCGAGAAGGTTGCAATATTAAAATATTCCCAAGCGACTTTTTAAGAAGGCATTTTTAAAATAATTTTAAACTTTATATGGGAATTAGTTTTTTTGGTTTTATTGTATAATTTTTTTAATATATAATTCATAATTAATTCATTAATGTGAATGGAATATCTTCTTCTTCCACTACGCATCCACTA